ACAGTCCTCTGAATTTGCCCCAATTTTACAGATGAGAGAACTGAGCGAAAAGTTTATGAAAATACTCAAGGTTGTATAGTTATTAAGCATCACTAGCAGGGTTTAAATCCAGTCACCTCCAAAAAATGAGCTTTAGTCACTATTCTGTTGTGAAAGCAATATAACTGGAGTCATATTAAAATAGAGATGGAGAAGGTCATCATAGAAAAGGCCACTTTATCATGCTCTTTAAACAGTACCCTTGGACAGACTGGGGCAAATCACTAGCATTCCAAGAAACAAACAAGAATAAAACTCACCAACAAGGACTGATAAAGGAACTTGTACCTACTTTTTTTGTGGTCTCTCCACCTGACCATTGTACTTTTTGACTCCTTTACCTGACCACTAACTACTACATCCTTTACCTTGTCTACCTTTTTCCTGCTATATGAACCCCCAATCTTTGCCCTCCTCTGGTCAAATTCTAACTTGACCCTGTGCTCCCCGAAAAGTTGCAATTCTTTGATCCCTATGCCTTTTTAATGTCCTCCTGAAATGAATTTTTAGGTTAAAACTGACTTGTTCTCCTTTAAAAAAAGTGAAGAGGGCCTCTCTGGTGGTGCAGGGGTTAGTCTCAACACTATCAAATTATCACCAGCCACTTTTGGTCTGAGTTCAATCCTGATCCCTGATCCCCAGACCAGGGAGCTGACCCACAGGGTGCAGCAGGCCTCTCCTGTTGCTCACTGCTCCCCTTGGCAGTGTATTTCAGTAGATCTGTCTGTTCTGCTCCCCACTCTGTCTCTGGTGAATCCTCTCACTGCCCCCCCCCCCAATTGCACCTCTGGCCTACACCCCAGTTCTTGTATGCATAAATAAATAAAAAATAAATCTTAATTTTATTTTAAAAAGTGAAGAAAAATGTTAGTATTTTCTAATTAGAGAAAAATTGGAATATACAGAAAAATAGAAATATATATGTCCTACCCCCAACACAACTGTTTAATATTACTTTTTGACTTGAACTATAATTATATATTGTAAGAAGGCCATAGATAAGAGACTTTAGGGGAAGGAAAGAGTATTTCCTACTGGGTCTTGAAGAACAGGATAAGATGTGGGTGCGTCCAGGATGCTATGAACTAAGAAGATAAAGAACTAAGCTAAGGACAAGTCATAAATAGCTTAGAATTCCTCTGCTTTTCAACTAGGCAATACTGGTAATACTGGTAGTACTAGTGAAACAGTATAATTAATCCTTCATAGAAAGGGGAGGTTCCAGTTTCCCTGACCCACCTGAGGAAGGGTGGAGCTGAGTGGAGAGGGGAAGCTAGAAAGGATTGGAAAGAAGGAAGGAAGGTAGGAAGAAAGGAAGGAAGGAAGGAAGGAAGGGAGGGAGGGAGAGAGGGGACTTCAAAGAGGCACGTGGAGCAGAGAGATGTGAAGGAAGAAGAAGCTGCACTTGCTTGGACTTACACCAAGTTCTGTGGAGACATGGAAGGAGACATTTAGAAGACATGTAGTGAGAGACCCATAGGAAAGCTGACAATGGCAACCTTTATCTTGACCTGTATTTTGATTTTGCGCTTTTTCCTTGCAAACTCTCTTGGCCCTCTGCCCCTTTCCTATGGTCCCCACCAGGAGGTGCCTTAGACTTGTGGCAGGCTTTCAGGCCTCAGCGGCCCCACTTTGGGCCACCCCTGTTTGGCTGGACATTTACCCACGAGGGGATGGGTAACTTTGGGTATTTAATGGGAAACTAGTGTAAGTATATTCTTTCTCTTCTCTTTATTGCACACTAATTGTATAAAGTTCTTTTCTATTGGAGGTTTTATGCACTATAGTATGTTTTGTCTTTATGCAGTGGATGGCAGAACCCATTTAGAGCAGGCAGGTTTAGGGGCCATAGGGTATCCCTCACTTTGCCTGCTAACATTGGTACTAATTATCATTTATTCCTAAGTTGATATCCTGTATTAGACTGGGGGTTCCCGTCTATATCTCCATTCATTCAATGAGCATTTATTGAGTTTCTGTGTGCCAGGCACTGTGTGAGAGGAATTCACAGTCTAATAGGAAAGGGGCTACAAAAAAAATCCTGACTCAAGTAGACAATTACCAAGTCTGGCATGGTCTCTCCTTCTCTGTACCCCCATTTCCACCTTTTTAAAAAATTTTAAAAATTTAAAATTTTTTTTTTTTAATTTTTGTGTAGAAGAACTCGGGAGTAGGCCAGAGGTGCAGGGCGGTGTGTGTGTGTGTGTGTGTGTAAAAGGATTCACCAGAGACAGACTGGGGAGCAAGAAAGGCAGATCTACTGAAATACACTGCTGAGGGGACCAGCGGGTGAGACAGGAGAGGTCTGCTGCACCATGTGGGTTGCTCCCTGGCCGGAGATCGCACTCATGCCATGGTGGCTGCCAATAGCTTGATAGTGCTGAGACTTTAAACCCTGTACCACCAGCAAGGCCCATAATGAAGTTCTTAAAAAATAAAATCACTGTGATCAAACTGAAAGCAGGCAAACCTAGAAATATAGGGAAATCCCAGCTTCATGAGTCCTCACCATTGACACCTCTAGTAAAACCAGGAGTTTGGTAGGATGGGTCAGGCAGAGCTAAGTGTCAAGTGAAATAAGTACTGAAAAACGCCCATGGGGTCCTCCCCGGTGGCACAGCGGTTGAGCGCTGGGTTGCGAAGCTGCCCGCAGCCTCTGCAGCACCGGTTCAATCCCCAGCTGCTCCCCAGCCACAGGAGGAGGGTCCCACATGGCGCGCAGACCTCTCCTGTCACCCGCTGCTCCCCTCAGCAGTGTGCTTCGATCCTTCTGCCTGCTCTGCTCCCTGCTCTGGCTCTGGTGAATTCTCTCACCCTCCCGTGCTTCTGACTGTACCCAGTGCTTGTATGTATAAATAAATAAATAAACAAACAAACAAATAAATAAATAAATCTTTAAAAAAAAAATGCCCGTGGGATTTATAAACTGTGCGAGGGCGTGCAGAGTGTAGAATTTGGACTGACTGGTGTAGAGGACTGACTGGTGTCTCCCCCTGATGACATGGGGGAGACAGAAACTCTTTGAGGTTCTATGGCTCTTGGGGGGCATGAAATAATTTATAAGAAGATAAAAATAAAATTTGTTTCATGGCCAGTAAACATGTGAAAAGATTGCGACATTAGCCAATAGGGAAATGCAAATCAAAATCACAAGATACAACTTCATACCCAGGAGGAAGGCTATACCCAAAATGATAGACAATAGCAAATGTTACCCAGGATGTGAAATATTAGAACCTCAGACATCTTACGCAGAAATGTAAAATGGTGCAATTGATTTGGAAAAAATCGGGCAGTTCCTTATAAAGTTAAATGTACAATTACCATATGAACCCAGTCATTCCTAGTATATGCCCAAGAGAAATTACCACATTTGTCCAAACACAATAAAAACAAAACAGGAAATGTTCACAGCAGTACTTTTCATATTAGTCAAAAAGTGGAAACAACCCAAATGTCCATTAACAGATGACCAAAAAATGTGGTATATTCACACAGTGGAATATTATCCATATAAAAAAGGAATGGGGGGGGCCTCCCTGGTGGTGCAAGGGGTTAAGCACAGCACTGTGAAGCTATCTGCAGCCTCTGCAGCACGAATTCGATCCCCTCAGCTGGCCAGGGAGCAACCCACACTGCGCAGCAGACCTCTCCTGTCTCTCTTGCAGCTCCCCTCAGCAGTGTATTTCAGTAGATCTGCCTTTCTTGCTCCCCAGTCTGTCTCTGGTGAATCCCCTCACCATCTCCCTTTCTGCACCTCTGGCCTACACCCCAGTTCTTATATGCATAAATAAATATAAAATCTAAAAAAAAAAAAAAAAAAGGAATGGAGTTCTGATATATGGTAGTGTTAGGGGGAAAAGGATGTCCTAAAGCTAATTCCATATAGGCTATGAGGACTCCACCCCCACTCCAGACCAAAGCCAAAAGACATTGGGAGAGACAATCCCATCACCACGGAAGGGAAGTTTGCTGGAACCTGAGGGTGGGGTTAAGCAGCCAGGTTTGGTATAAAACAAGACACGTGGGCTTTGGGGTGGGGGAGGGGGGGGTTCCCTTTTTTGGCTCTCCGCCAGCTTGCAGGGCTCATCCAGCTCTCAGAGTGCCTTTGGGTTTCCAGATCTGCGGATCGGGTAGGACGCATTAAAGACTTTATTACCCTATTTTCTCCCTGAGTTGTACATTTCCTCATTTCCCTTTCCCTTGTAAATAAACCTTTTATTAACCTTTTGTTTGTGCTTGTAGTGGATAAATAAGTCCCTTTTAAGCGCGTGGGTGAAGCCTCACAGCCAGGCCACCCGTTTCTATATCGGGGCTGCTCCGTAACAGTAGGACACTGAAGAACCTTGACAGCATTATGCTAAGTAAAAGAAGCCAGTCACAAAAGACCACATAGCGCATGATTCCATTTATAAGAAATGTCAGGTTAGGCAATCCACATAAAAAGAAAAGTAGTTGCCAGGGGGTGGGAGGAGGAAAGCATGGGGTAGTGACTACTTAATAGGTTTCTTTTGGGGAAGTTGCAAATGTTTTAGAATTTGATAATAGTGATGGCTGCACAGCTCTGTAAATGTATGACAATAACCACAGGGATATATTTGTATAAGGTGAATTTCATACTATGTGAAATGTGAATTATATGTTAACTTAACACTCAAATTAAATTTTAAAAAATTGCAGCGCTTAATAAGACCCCTGTGAAGCCCAAGCAGCTAATTGCCAGGCCAAGGCCAACGCGAGCCCCCCCTGGCTGAGCACCGCGCTTCCAGGAAGTCGGGGCCTGGAGGCCGCTGATTGGCTGAGCTGTGGGAGTGGGCGGGGCGAAAAGGGGCGCCTCCAGTCCCACTCGGCGAGGCGGGGCAGAGCGGAACTTCCGCTCGCGAGATTTCTCTGGTTCCGCGTCTCGGGCCGGCGAGGTGGGGGAGGCGGGCGAGGGGACGCAGCGGCTTCACCGGCGCGCAGCGGCTGGGCACCCGGCTCGAGCAGCGGCGGCCCGGGCTTCCGCCTTCCGGGAGCTGAGGACCGTCCGCTCCCCTTCAGCTCCCGAGCGGGCGCCACTCCTGAGCGCGGGGCGCCAGCCGCCCTCCCCTCCCAGGACGGACGATGAGCTTCCTCTTGTGAGTGTGGCGGGGTCGAGGCGGGGCTGGGGCTGAGAGTTGGGGTCCGGGCGGGGGCGAGCGCGCGCCTCGGGCGAGGGCCCGCCCCGGGGGCGAGGTCGGGGTGGCCCGACCTGCTGCGCCCCGACTCGGGGCCTCGGGGGCGTCTGAGCCGTGAACCTACGCAGGCTGAGGGGAAGGTCGAGGTAGAGGAAACCGAGCGAGGAGGTGGGGTGTAGACAGGCCCCGGGGCCGGCAGCGCCTCCAAACTTTCCGCCCCAGCGCCCCCGGGGGCGGATCCCGGGGCCCTTCCGCAGGCTCTCGATGTCTTTCAAGTTTCTGGTAACGATCCTTGCTGACTTAGCTCTTACTCCACCGTGTGTCTAGTTGTGTTACGGTCGGTGTGAGTTACCCGCGAGGAGAAATCCCACCCCAGGAAAGCGTGAAGTGCCGCCGTTTGGGAAGCTGGAGTTCCGCTGCGGGCCTTGCAGCCGGGCGGTGCTCTGCAGTTCTGATTCAGCCCCCTTTGTAACTTTGCTTAATCCCGTGGCTTCTCGTAGCCTGCGTGAAATACTGTTTCAGAGCTAAGGCCTGGGCCCAAAGGCGGCTTGGATGGAACAGTCTGTAACTTCTTTGATGATTCTTAAACCCAGTAAGGTTTGAGCAGCTTTGCTCCAGCACTTTGTTCCCAGGTGTATCTACCTTGTATATATCGTGTGGTGGAATGTCTCCTCCTTTCGTTATACACATCACCCACGTACTTGACTTAAACAGTATCTAGTGTTTCATAACCAGAATTTACTTAGTTCCTTGGTGTGAGAAATTTGGATTCTTTCTAATATTTTGCTGTTACAATATAGGACTCCAAACAATATCCGAATCATTTTTTCTCTTTGAATTATCTTTTTTTTTTAAAGATGTATTTTTGCATAGAAGAACTGGGGTGTAGGCCAGAGGTGGGGTGGGGGGAGAGGATTCACCAGAGACAGAGTGGGGAGCAGAACAGGCAGAGCTACTGAAATACACTGCTGAGGGGAGCAGCGTGCGAGGCAGCAGAGGTCTGAGGTCTGCTGTGCCTTCTGTGGGTTAACTCCCTGGCGGGGATCTAACCTCAGGCGGCAGCGCTGTGAGCACTTGATAGCGCTGATACTTAACCCCTTGCGCCACCTGGGAGGCCTGTGATGTTGAGTATCTTTTTGTGTGCCTGTTGGCCATCTGTATATCTTCTTGAGACAGTTCCTTGTTTACTATATGTATCTTGTCATTCATTGCTTATTTCTAATTTAAAGGGCCATTTCTTTTAATTTAGTACTTCCCTATTAAATATAGGTTTTTGTAATTTCTTTTACTACTTTGCTCTTCAGAATAATCTGCTGCTGTACATTTGGCTTTCTCATTTATTTAATCATTTCAGATCTTTCCATGTAAACACATGTAGCTCTGGCTTGTTCTTCTTAATTACTGTACGGTATTTCATGATGCGGATGTATCATAGTCTATTCATTCCTCTACTGATAAGCTTTAGGACTGATCCCAGGTTTCTCAACACTTAAAATAATCTTAGGAAGTACATTCTTATTCATATCTGCAAGTGGAATGGATGGATTATGGAGGATTTCAGTTAATACTGTGATTATATGCCCCTTCCTAATAATTTCTACTTTCATCAATATTGTATGAAATGCTTATTTCTCTATGCCCTAGCCCATACTTAATGTAATTATTTTTAACTTCTGACACAGATTAAGGAAAAATAAATCTTAATTTAATCGAGCAACTTTTTTAGATGTTCATTAGTCATTGTGTTTTTCTTTCAATATTGCCCGATCTCCTTAGCCCCTTTTTCTAAAAGGTTACTTACCTTTTTCTTAGTGATTATAGAAGCCTTTTATTATACAGTTAGGTCTTCGTAATAAACATTGTAGTCTTTTTCTGTTGTTGTCGCTTCGTTAGAGAAGTTTTAATTGTTCTGATTAGAAATCTGCTAGTATTTTCTCAGTTTTCTGTTGTGTTAGGAACGCCTGCCTTATGGGTGACGTGAGAGGGGAAACAAAAAAAACATTTTTCCTCAATAACTAGTTGTCATTTATTTATTTATACAAGAACTGGGGTACAGGCCAGAGGTGCGGAAGGGTGAGAGGATGCACTTCAAAAGGTTCATGTTACTTTTGTGGTTTGCTTTGATGGCATAACAAGTATTTTGACATAGAAAGCTGGATTTTTGTGCTTTGTTAACTTTAGGACTGTCTCCCTCCCAACACCATTTTCTGTAGGTAGAAATTGAGGCTAAAAAGAGGCTTGGTTTCTTAGGCAGTCACAAAGTTAGTGGCAGATCAGGGGCTACTAGGATCCAGGGTTTTTCCCTTTTGGTTAAAGTGCCCTTTCTATTATACTGGACTGCTGCTTGAAGCATAGAAAAATTGCCTTCTGTGTATGTGCAGTTGTGCTGCTAAAATCCAGTTTCTGTGGGAGGAAACAAAGTTAAAGCATCCTTATCTTGTGATCATTACTGCGCCCCCCCCATACTGTTACTTTTTTTTTTTTTAAGGGGTACAGGCCAGTGGTGTGAGGGTGAGAGGATTCACTAGAGACAGAGTGGGAAGTAGAACAGACAGAGCTACTGAAATAACACTGCTGAGGGTAGCAGCTGGTGAGACAGGAGAGGTCTGCTGCACCATGTGGGTCACCTCCCTGGCTCGGGATAGAACTCCTGCTGCTGTGGCTATGGATTGCTTCATAGTACTGAGACTTAACGCCTAGCACCACCAGGGAGGCCCCACTGGTACTTTTCAAAGAATAGTTTTTAATTTATTCTCAGAACTATTTATCCACCTAAAATGATGCCATTCTGCCTCCAATCCTAAGATATAATATACTTTTACTTTTAACCTAACAGCAGCAGCCGCTCTTCCAAAACATTCAAACCAAAGAAGAATATCCCTGAAGGGTCTCATCAGTATGAACTCTTGAAACATGCAGAAGCAACTTTAGGAAGTGGGAATCTGAGACAGGCTGTTATGTTGCCAGAGGGAGAGGACCTCAATGAATGGATTGCTGTTAACAGTAAGTTTTTTAATAACTTTCAACTTTGATTGTTTATAGGAACATTTTTGCTAAAGTCTTTTTTTAAATTTTTCTTTATAATATATTATTTGTAAACTAAACTAGAAGTACAAATACATACAAAACTTGGTTCTCTTCGGAGTTCTTGGTAGTAGTTTGTCTGGTTGACGGACACGTGAGGAGAAATGGTAAGTGCTTTGGGGTAATTTCTGAGGAGAATGGTATGAATTGTTGAGTAAAGTGAAATAATAGATTAATAAGTGCAAGAATTCTACCTGTGCATACCATCACTTTGTAGGGCATTTATATTCACAGTTGTGCTCCAAATGTCAACACCTATTGTCTACATACTTAGAAAATAAAAGTCAGTTGCAGTTGGTATGATCAGTCACTCGATTGTTGTGACTTTGGAGTAGTCTGAAGGAAATTTGAAAAATTTCAAAGGGAAGGGACCCATGATCTGAAAAGTCACTCTGAATTTGAGACATGTAAGATTTGAATACTAGAATCTGGGCTTCTGAGATGAGATCAATTCTGGATGATAAGGTTTAAATCTTTTAGGAATTTCACCTGTTCCAGAAATTTAAAGTTTTTAATAGAATTTTTCTAGAATACAGAAATAGTCAAAGTAGTTCAACAAATTTCTAGGTATCCATTATCTAGTTTTTTTTTTTTTTTTAATAGAGGCATGTTTTTTATTTATTTATTATATTTGTTTGTTTGTTTTTGTTTATACATGCACTGGGTACAGTCAGAAGCGCGGGAGGGTGAGAGAATTCACCAGAGCCAGAGTGGGGAGCAGAGCAGGCAGAAGGACTGAAGTACACTGCTGAGGGGAGCAGCGGGTGGCAGGAGAGGTCTGCGCGCCATGTGGGATCCTCCTCCGGTGGCCGGGGAGCAGCCGGGGATCGAACCGGCACCGGGGAGGCCCCTCCATTATCTAGTTTTAACAGTTAACCCTTTACGCTTTCTGTATCTACCTTGATTATTTTGAAGTGAATCCCATACATACTGTTTCATTTATAAATATTTCATTATCTTTGGGAACTCCATTTTAAAGATAATGTTAATATCTACCACCATTCCTTTATTTTATCAAATGTCAGTGTTTACAGTGTTTTCCTGATGTCTTATAAATGTTCCTTTTTTTTAAGATTTATTTTTTATTTATACAATAGCTGGGGTACAGGCCAGAGGTGTGGGGGGCGAGAGGATTCATCAGAGACAGAGTGGGGAACAGAACAGACAGACGGACTGAAAGCACTGCTGAGGGGAGCAGCAGGCGAGACAGGAGAGGTCTGCTGCACCATGTGGGAATCTCCCTGGCCGGCCAGGAATGGAACCCGCACTGCAGAGGCTGCAGACAGCTGCACAGCGCTGCGCTCAACCTGCTGTGCCACCAGGGAGGCCCAAATGTTCCTTTTTTTAAAAAAAAAAAAATTGGTTTTAAGTCAGGACCCAATAAGGCCTGAACATGTTTCTTGAATCTCTTAATCTTAGAGTTCCCATCCTTCCAGTCTTTTTCTCTTAATTATTTTTTGTTGTTGAGGAAACAGTTCATTTGTTTTCACAGCACAAATTACCATGTCTTGTTCTTCCTTTTATTTTCTGTGAACATCAGATCTAGAGCAGCCCTTTCCAATAGAACTTTTTTTTAAGATTTATTTATGGGCCTCCCCGGTGGCACAGCGGTTGAGCGCTGGGTTGCGAAGCTGCCCGTAGCCTCCGCAGCGCTGGTTCGATCCCTGGCCACTGGGCGAGGGTCCCACATGGCGTGCAGACCCCTCCTGCCGCCCGCTGCTCCCCTCAGCAGTGTACTTCATCAGTCTGTCTGCTCTGCTCTCCCCTCTGGCTCTGGTGAATTCTCTCACCCTCCCGTGCTTCTGACTGTACCCAGTGCTTGTAAATCTTTAAAAAGAAAAAAGATTTATTTATTTATGCATACAAGAACTGAGGTATAGGCCAGAGATGCGGGGCATGAGAGGATTCACCAGAGACAGAGTGGGGAACAGAACAGGCAGATTGACCGAAATACACTGCTGAGGGGAGCAGTGGGCGAATCCAAGAGGTCTACTGCGCTATGTGGGTTGCTCGCTGGCCGGCTGGGGATCCAACTGGGCTGGGGATCCAACTCGTGCTGCAGAGGCTGCGGATTGTTTCATAGAGTGGTGCTTAACCCCTTGCGCCACCAGTAAGGCCCCCAATAGAACTTTTCCGAGAGGATATCAGTGTTTAGTATCTGCACTGCAGCCAGTTAGCACTTGATATGTGCCTTGTGTGACTGGAATGGAAAATTTTTTTAAATTTTATTTATGTATTTATTTATTTTTAAGATTTATTTATTTATTTATACAAGCACTGGGTACAGTCAGAAGCATGGGAGGGTGAGAGAATTCACCCTGACGAAGTAGTGACGAAGTACACTGCTGAGGGGAGCAGCGGGCGAGACAGGAGAGGTCTGCTGCGCCATGTGGGACCCTTGCCTGTGGCCGGGGATCAAACGGGTGCTGCAGAGGCTGCAGGCAGCTTCACAGCCCAGCGCTCGACTGCTGTGCCACCCTGGAGACCCTGGAATGGAATTTTTAATTTAATTTAGTTTTAATTGTAAGTAGCCATTTGTGGCTACCATGTTAGCATAGCTTTTGTGTTTCAGATTAAACTTGAGTGTAATTTTTGTAAGACTACCTTGTAGGTTGTAGATATACTAAATGTAGATTTTCATAGAGGCTAGTTGTCTTTATGTGGTATTAATTGACAATTAAGAATCATTGCGGGGCCTCCCTCGTGGCGCAAGGGGTTAAGCACCGCACTGTGAAGCAATCCACAGCTTCTGTAGCACGAGTTCGATCCCTGGCTGCCAGAGAGCAACTCACATAGTGCAGCAGACCTCTCCTGTCTTGCCCGCTGCTCCCCTCAGCAGTGTATTTCATTCCATCTGCCTGTTCTGCTCCCCACTCTGTCTCTGGTAAATCCTCTCATGCCCTGCATCTCTGGCCTGTACCCCAGCTCTTGTATGCATAAATAAATAAATCTTAAAAAAATCATTGCCTTGGTCAACACTGTCATAATGTGCACTACAAATGTAATTAAAAAATTTTTTTTAACTCATTAAAAAGTTATATTTAATCACTAAGAGAAAAAAAAACAAGGTATAGAACTATTTAATGTTATCTTTGTGTAAGACATGATAAATAAACTTGAGGGGAGGGAGTTGGAATGGTTGGAATTTAGATTTTTCACTATAGGGTTTTTTTGTGTCTCTTGATTTGTGAGCCATGTAAGTAGTATATATTAAAAAAATTCTGTTTTTTAAATTTTTCATGTTTGTTTAATTTATTTTTATTTTCTTACATCATTGTTCATTTTTGTACGAAATGTGATTTCTCCCCTCAGTTCTCCTACTATATATCACCTATGATCCATAACTGTAGTCACTTGTGCTCTTCCCTTCCCAGTCTTGACCCCTTGTGCTCCCCAAAAATACATTTTTAGCCTCATTTGAGTTTTTTTCATTCTGAAGGCCTCTGTTCACCTTCTTCAGCTAAATTATTCTTTGAAACTTACTTCTTTAGATCATGTCTTCCAACCTTTTGGTCTTGCAGGGGTCTCTTTATTCTTTTAAAATTTATTGAGAACCCCCAAGAGCGTTTAATTTTGTAGGTTAAATTTAGTGATACTTACACTGTGTTAGGAATTAAAAATGAGAAAATTTAAATACTTATTTTTAAATTTGTCTAAAAAAGCAATAAATCTATTATCTGTTAACACAAATGTTTTTATGAAAAATAACTTCAAAATCAATTTTAGTGAGAAATATGGCATTATTTTATGTGTTTGCAAATTTTACTTAATGTTTGGATTAATAGGAGATACTTGGATTCTCATAGCTGCTTCTGCATTTAGTCTGTTGTGGTGTCACATATCCTGTGTTTATTACGGGAAAAAAGACTGAAAGGAGACACACTAAAACATTAACCCTATCACAGCTTGACTTAACATTATGGATGGTGAAGTGTTCTGTTTCTCCTTCAGTATTTCTTGAAACTTAATTACGGTAAAATAAAGTTTAATCCAGAATTGGTATAATTACATCTAAATGGTGTTGCTTAAGTTAGCATGAATAAGCACAAGAAGAAAAAAAATCAAATATTAAAAAGGTGCCTCTGGACAAATCTGTGCCTCCTGAATGAATGAGAATAGAAAGAGCAATCAAAAAGGCGTGACCTCACAGATCCCTCTGAAATAGGGAATCCCTGGACCATATTTACTTGCTTTTTAAGAAACTTGAAAAAGCCCTAGTTGATTTTTATTTTTATTCATTTATTTTGTAAAGATGTATTTATTTATGCAAACAAGAACTGGGATGTAAGCCAGAGGGGTAGGGGTGAGAGGATTCACCAGAGAGAGTGGGGAACAGAACAGGCAGATCTACTGAAATACACTGCTGAGGGGCGAGATAGGAGAGGTCTGCTGCATCATGTGGGTCAGCTCCCTGACCGGCTGGGGATAAAACTCGTGCTGCAGTGGCTGGCAATAGCTTGTTAGTGCTGTGCTTAACCCCTGGGCCACCAGGGAGGCTCCCTAGTTGATTTTTAGATATTGCTTTGGATGAGGAACTAAGACTTGTTAGGTTCTCTTTGTACAGAGTAATGTTTCACCAAATTAAGTACATCCTCTTCCTGTTTCTTCCAGATCTAGCTGAAGCTCATTTAAGATGTACTTCCTGACTGCTTCAACTGGTCAAGATGTAGCCTTTTCTTAAATTTCTAGCACTTTTTGTTAGCCTTTAGATCCTATCTTAATTTGTTATATTATTCATATCATTCAGTTTTGTCCATCTGTTAACTGGAGATCCCACACTGAACATTATCTCATGTCCTTTTCATTTTCTTAGTATGCATTAGGCCCTCAGATTTTTATGATGAATTAGTTTTTTTTTTAATTTTTTTTTAATAGAGGCATGTTTTTATTTATTTATTTGTTTTGTTTTGTTTGTTTTGTTTATACATGCACTGGGTACAGTCAGAAGCGTGGGAGGGTGAGAGAATTCACCAGAGCCAGAGCGGGGAGCAGAGCAGGCAGAAGGACCGAAGTACACTGCTGAGGGGAGCAGCGGGCGGCAGGAGAGGTCTGCGTGCCATGTGGGACCCTCCTCTGGTGGCCGGGGAGCAGCCAGGGATCGAACTGGCGCCGCAGAGGTCGCGGGCAGCTTCACAACCCAGCGCTGAACCACTGCGCCACCGGGGAGGCCCATGAATTAGTTTTTTAAATGCCTGTTGATACACCTATTACCTAGAAATGTTCTGTAGCTTTTGTTTCCTAACACAAATGGTACTGTGGTCCATTTTGATAAGAAGCAATGGATATTTATATTCCCTTGGATGTAATAAAATTGTATATTCTAAAAGTATAATGGTCACCATTTAGTAGAACTATCTCTAATACTTTATTTTCCTACTGTTTTATGCTGGTTAAAAGCTTAGTACATTAAAACTGAATATATCTTAAAAGTTAACTTTACTTGGGTTTCACAACTTAAAAGAGCATTTACAGTATATTTGAACTGTTGAATCTCCCAGGGATTTAGCCAAGAACTTGAATACATGGTCCATTTTGTTTTAACCAAGAAGTCTGATGTTTTGTTGAATTTTGCATAGAATTTTTTTTTTCCGCATAGAATTTTTAACACAATTCTGCTACTTTCTTTTCAGCTGTGGATTTTTTCAACCAGATCAACATGTTATATGGAACTATTACAGAATTCTGCACTGAAGCAAGCTGTTCAGTCATGTCTGCAGGTCCAAGGTATTACATACCCCTGTAAAGTAGATGTTTGAGTTATTGAAAAAGCTAGTCATTAATTGATACATGTTAAATCATTAAGACTTTGTTTTTCCTGTGCCCACTTAAGTAAAAGCAGTTCAGTGTTAACAAGTACTTGAATTCTTACCTATAAGCTTTTCGTTACTAGTTCATACTTTGGTGTGTAATATTTAGTGTTTTGATATTATAATTGCATTGTAATATGTATGAATGCTTAGTTGTGAGAGTAAAAAATTTGAGTTAGGTTTATCTTAAATTGCAAAAGTTCACTATTTTCAGTTGTATTAACGTTTATGGTTCTGTTTCTAGTTTACAAATGAATTTCTTGGAAGTGTTTACTTGACCTTTATGAAGGTCCATATTGAGTTTGTAGTCCTATTTTTATTACATTATTTTAGGAGGAATGTCTTTATCTTGCGATGTTTTATTCCTCAAACTTCCTTAAAAGAAATTAAGATAAATAGGAGAATTAAGCTTGTTTATGGATTACACAGTGAAGTTTTATATAAGTTTTGTTAGTCATTCTAGCTCAGCAAAAATTAGGGAGAGAAAGATGGCATGCCTAAGAGTGTTTCTTTAATACCCCTTCCACAAAACAGGGTTTTATAACCATGACTGTTGGTGATAACTTGATGAACAAAGATCTCAGAATGTAGTGGATCAATCAGTCTTTAATCCAGCCCTCAACACGCTCTGCCTAACAGGAATGCAGTTCCTTTATCTCCCAAGGCTGTGCTAAAAACTTACAAGCTGGCATTGCCTGCTGTCATATTATCTTCCTTTTCTCTTCCAATTATAACAATCACATTGCAGAATACTTCTCAAGGGAACTCTTAAGTAATCTTCAGTAAGACTTTCGGTAATTTACTTAAGGTAAATGCAACATCTGTTGACAAAATGTAGACCACTTTGGTTACAAGTTTCACTTTTGTTTTACTTTTGAAAATACGCTCAGCAAAATCTTTTTCTCTCCAGGTATGAATATCATTGGGCAGATGGTACTAATATTAAAAAGCCAATCAAATGTTCTGCACCGAAATACATTGACTATTTGATGACTTGGGTTCAGGATCAACTTGATGATGAAACTCTTTTTCCATCTAAGATTGGTGAGTTATTATAGAACTGTTTTTCTTTTAAAATGATAAATGTGTTGTAATTCTTTAATGCTGTTACTGGAAAAAAGAGACTGCCAAATTCCTTTCCAAAAAAATCTGTGTATTATCTAAAATCTAAATGAGTATTCCTCTAGGTGTGTTTGTATCATGTCTGTTTTTTCATCAGTGCTAGTTATTACTCATTTTTTAATTCTATTTTGAGTAAATAAATTGGTTTTAATGTACATTTTAAAAATATTGATGAGGGCCTCCCTGGTGGCCTGTCGATTAAGTCTTAGTACTATCACTGCAACAGCTTGAGTTTCATCCCCAAACCACATACAGCTCAGCAGACCTCTCCTGTCTCACCTGCTGTTCCCCTTACCAGAATATTTCAGTAAATCCACCAGCTCTGCTCCCCATTCTGTCACTGGTGAATCCTCTCACACACACCCCCCTCCGCCCCGCATCTCTGGCTGACACCCCAGTTCTTCTGTGCAAAAAAATAAAAATATTAATGAGATTGAGCATTTTTTTGGTTTATTGATCATTGTGTTTTCTGTTTATAGTATTTATATTATATTAACTCTTTGTCATAGATAGATGTTATATGTATTTTTCCCCAGGTTGTATTACTTTGTTCGGGAAGTGTTTTTGCTGTATATAACTTATTTTGTCCTATTACTCTTTTCTTTTATGACTTGTGGATTTTAATTAGTAATTAGAAAGGTTTTCTCTAAGATTATAACAATACTTGTCCATGTTTTTCATTAGTACTTTTGTTTTCACATTTAAATTGTTCTGTCAGAAATTTTTTTCTGAACACTCCTTTTTGTCCAAATATGCTAGCCAGTTTGTCCAGGACTATTATCCAAATACATGTGTCTTTTCTGCCCTCATTATCATGTATATACCAAATTGCTACATATTTTGGAGTGTTAATCTCTCTATTTACTACTGTAGAAGTTCTACACTGTTTTAAATACCATGGCCATACGGCTTTAAACATCTTGTAGGTCTAGTCTCTCTTCCTTGCTCGTCTTTTTTCAGAATTATTCACAGCTATTCTGGCATAGTTGTTCTTCCAAAGAATTTAGAATCATTTTGTCAAGATAAAAAACTTTGTGAGATTTTGATTATGATTTCATTCAATTTATAGATAATGTAGGGATTCTTGTTCTCTTGACAATATTGAATCTTTTCAAGAACAGGGTGTATTTTTCATTTATTGATCTTTCATTATTTACTCTTGTAGAATTTGCCATTTAACTCTGTGCTGACCCTTCAAGTTTTTGAAGTTCATTACTAGGCATTTAATCTTGTATATTGATACCTTGTTTCCAATTGGTTATTGTTTAGTATGTAGAAAATTGGTGATTTTTATCTAAATGTTATAACTGACCACCAGATTTTAAGTGGTTCTGTTTTAGGTTGGGTTTCTCAAGTTTTTAAAGTATATAATCACATGTTAAAATATTAGCTTTGTGTCTTCTTTTCTTATATGTGTATTTCTTGTATAACTGAAATAATTTTACCAACTACTTCCAGAGCAGTGCTGGTGATGGCAGATATACTTGTCCCCCCCCCTTTTTTTTTTTTGAAGATTTATTTATTTATGCATACAAGAGCTGGGGTACAGGCCAGAGATGCAGGGTTGAGAGGATTCACCAGAGACAGAATGGGGAACAGAAAAGGCAGACTGACTGAAACACACTGCTGAGGGGAGCAGCAGGCGGGACAGGAGAGATCTGCTGCGCCATGCTCCCTCGCCAGCCCTGGGGATTGAACTCGAGCTTCAAAGGCTGTGGATCGCTTCATAGTGCTGTGCTTAACCCCTTGTGCCACCAGGGAGGTCTTATACTTGTTTCCTTTTATGTGAGCATTTCTAGTATTTCACTATTAAGCTGGAATCTTGCCTTTGGTTTAAAGTGTGAATTTTTAAAAATCAGATATGTTTGTAGAGTTTTATTAGATTCTTTTTCAGTATCTATTAATGACTATAAGGTTTTCTCTATTTTTTTTTTCTTAATGTTCTGTCGGGAGAGTAGTTTTTATTTGCTGATATTTTAAGATTTTGACATCAGCAGTATTCATGGATGAGATCAATTTTAGGGTGCCTTCTGAACAGCATATTATTGGATCCTGTTTGGGCTGCCATAACAAAAATACCAGAAGTTGGATTGATTATAAACAATACAAATTTATTTCTCACAGTTGTGAAGGCTGGAAGTCTAAGATCAGGGGGCTTACATGGTTGAATTGTGGTGAAGACCTAGTTTTAGCTTATAAAATTGCTGCCCTCTCTAGTCCTCTGATTCAAGAAGAGGCCACCAGCTTTCCCAGGCAGCGCTCTTCCCAGTTGAGCTCTGCCGTTGTGATCTAATAACCTCTCAAAAGCTCCACCTCCTTCCTCATGCCATGACCTAAGGGTTTAGGTTTTCAACATATGAATTTGGGAATTGGGGGAGTACACAAAATATTCAGACGATTGCAGGTTAGGAATTTGAGTCCAGTTTTTGCTCTTTCAGGAGCAAAGTTTATATCATGTTGTTATACTTGGTCTGTTTGCTGTTCGTCAGCTTTTCCATTCTGTTATTAAAATCTTAAATTCCCTTCCTCACAGACTCTATTGTATATTGATGATGCTTGAATGTTACTGTTAAAATCAGTTTGGCAAGTGCATAGATTTAAAAAAATCACTTACATTTCTTTATTCATTAAAATCTGCCTCTTGTGAAAGATAAATAATACTGTCTACTTTTATTCTCTTCCTTCAGCTTTCCATTCTGTAATAATCCATCCTAATGTTCTGGCATCCTTTCCTCTCTCATTAAGCTATTATCTACATCTTATTTATGCCAGTTCTTTACTCTTACTAAACAACAACTTCTATTCATTTTTTTAATTAATATATCTAAGTTTTTGCTTTTCCCTTTTTAAAGCATGTTGCCCATTTGTAAATTCTAAGAGAACAGTGGTTTGATTTTTAAAAATCTAACTTTTTAATGCACAAGTACAAGACCCAACCAGAAAACCATCTTCATAAAGTTGCAGAATAGGGGCCTCCCTGGTGGTGCAGGCAGTTGAGCGCTGCACTCTGAAGCTGTCTGCAGCCTTTGCAGCACAGGTTCAATCCCTGCCAGCCAGTGAGAATCCCACATGGCGCGGCAGACCTCTCCTGTCTCACCTGCTGATCCCCTCAGTAGTATATTTTGTCAGTCTGCCTGTTCTATTCCCTACTCTGTCTCCGGTGAATCCTCTCACCCTCCCACGCATCTGGCCTGTACCCCAGCTCTTGTATAAAAATAAAAAAATCTTAAAAAAAAATAAATAAGGGCCTCCCCTGGTGGCGCAGCAGTTGAGCGCTGTGCTGCGAAGCTGCCCGCAGCCTCTGCAGTGCCAATTAGATCCCTGGCTGCCCGCGAGGGTCCCACATGGCATGCAGATCTCTCCTGCTGCCCGCTGCTCTCCTCAGCAGTGTATTTCGTCAGTCTGCCTGCTCTGTTCCCCGCTCTGGTGAATTCTTTCACCCTCCCGTGCTTCTGCCTGTACCCAGTGCTTGTATAAATAAATAAATAAATCTTTAAAAAAATAAAATTTCTTTAAAAAATAAATAAAAAAAGTTACAGAATAATATTTGCAAAGGCAGGTTGACTAAAATGGGGGTTGGAGAAGTCCATAAAAGTCAAATTACAGGAGAAAAACATACTAAACTTCCAACTATCAAGGACTGGTTGAGAAGTAAGTTAACAAAAACAAAATGTAGGGAAGGGAAAGTGTTTTGGCCTTTCCCCCCACCAAAATATTAAAGAAAATGAAGTGTTTCAAGTATAGTGGTGTGAAACAAATCTTGAAGGTAAACTAGGTTACTTGGGTTGCAGAAGCCTTATGTCTTCATTTACTGTACTTATTATCAATTGTATCGTCTTTCTCACATATCTGTTGTCTAAGACACTTTGATATTGTTAACCAGAATTCTCAGGAATGTAACCAGTTGCATCCCCATCAGCATTGGTTGGAGAGAGATCACAAACCCTCTCGCAAGTCTTTTGTAAGGAGGTGTTTATTTTCTTTGAAAAATAGTGAGATGTCCACCTTCCCTTCTTCAGGAAGTATACCCCCTTCTTGGATTACAATAAATAAAAATAGCACTTAAAAATTGTAAGTTGAGTATTCACAGTTTAAGAAAGAAAACTGGTTTTTGAAAGTAATCCAGAAGATTGGCCACTTTTTCCTCCTAACAATAGAGGATAACGTCTATCCTACCCTTCCCCCCCCCCCTTTTTTTTTGCTTAGGAGTTTGTTGAGAGTATGTGTGAGAGAGTGAGAGAGAAGTGGTTGTTTTGAGTTACAAATTACAAAAAGCAAGTTTTCTATTTGTAATCAAAATAATTTTTGCATATAATCTTAACTGGACACTTTCCAGTGTTAATAACTAAAATTATGTTTAACTTTGGTTCAGCAGCATCTTGTAACTTAATACCTGTGCCTTCTGTTGTAAGGCTATCAAAAAAGGATGGTATGTGGGCCTCCTCTGGTGGTGCAGCGGTTGAGCGCTGGGCTGCGAGGCTGCCCGCGCCACTGTAGCTCCGGTTCGTTCCCCCGCCGCCGGCGAGGGTCCCACAAAAAAAAAAAAAAAAGGATGGTATGTGAAGCTATCTCATATATTTAGGTTTGAAATTTTTTTTTCCTTTGCCTTTTTAAAAAAATGTATGAACATGGTTCCCTATTCGTGACAGTGAGATTTTGTGTGTGTGAGTTGCTCATGGTAGGGTCTATAAACTTCTCTTATATTCAGTTAGATAAAGGACTAATCAGTATATGTGTTTGATTGCAGGTGTCCCGTTTCCCAAAAACTTCATGTCTGTGGCGAAGACCATTCTAAAACGTCTCTTCAGGGTGTATGCCCATATTTATCATCAGCACTTTGATTCTGTAATGCAACTTCAAGAGGAGGCCCACCTCAACACCTCCTTTAAGCACTTTATTTTTTTTGTTCAGGTAAGTTGAACTGTGTTTTTCTGTCCTTTGACTTGGATTTATTTGGATTGGCTTAACTTTAATAAAGAGCAATTATTAAAAAAGCAGTATCTTATTTATAGACATAGAGCTAAGTAAAAGTAGGCTCTTTTCTCTTTGCCACGTTGTTTATTTTAATGATGTGTTTAGCAACATAGAAAGCATAACCACCATTTTGGGCCTTCTGCTTCTGCTTGCCCCAGATGTGTCTGGTTAGGATATGGCAAGGAGCACCAAAAACCTAGGAAAAGCCTATTCATACCCTTCTGTTCTGTTGCCAACTGCAAATATGGGGAAAAAAAAAATATTTGCAGTTGGCTTTGTTTCATGAAATGTCTATGCCTAGAAAAGAAACTAGAAAGAACTTGTCTGCTATCTTGGGTAGAGTTGTCGGATATCCCACAACAGGTCAAATTTTAGGAAGCTGGCAGCTAGTAACTTCAAAAAACCTCCCTTTTCCATCCCAGTATGGCCTGTTGCCTTTAGTTGGAATTGAAACTTTAAGAAAAATCAAAATACCTCACATTTTTTGAAAAAGATATCAAGGAATTGGGACTCCTTCATGTCTAAGTTTAGATTTACATAGTTTCAGGTAATTTCTATATAAATTAGACGTGCAATTTTTTTTTTAAGATTTTTTTTTTATTTATGTATACAAGATTGGGGGCGGGGGCTCCCTGGTGGCACAAGTGCTGTTAAGCACAGCACTGTGATGCTGTCCGCAGCATCTGCAGCATGAGTTCTATCCCCAGCTGTCCAGGGAGCTACCCACATAGCGCAGCAGACCTCTCCTGTTTGCCTGCTGCTCCCCTCAGCAGTGTATTTCAGTCTGCATGTTCTGTGCCCCACTCTCTGGTGAATCCTCCCACCCCCACACCTCTGGTCTGTACCCCAGTTTTTGTATGCATCAATAAATCTTTAAAAAAAGAATTGGGGTATAGGCAGTAGGTGTGGGGGTGAGAAGATTCACTAGAGACAGAATGACAACTGAACAGGAAGATCTACTGAAATACACTGCTGAGGGGAGCAGCAAGCCAAACAGAAGAGGTCTGCTGTGCCATGTGGGTTAGCTCCCTGGCTGGGGAACGAACTCATACCTCATATGGCAGAGGCTGACAATACCTTGAAAGCACTGAGACATTAACCCCTGTACCACCAGGGAGGCCCGACATGTACAATTTTTACTTTAATATTTTATACTGGATCATGTCGATACAGTTGCTTATTAAGTTCCCTATTTTTTTTTTTTTTTTTTTTTTTTTTTATTTTTTTTTTTTTTAATAGAGGCATGTTTTTATTTATTTATTTGTTTTGTTTGTTTGTTTTGTTTATACATGCACTGGGTACAGTCAGAAGCGCGGGAGGGTGAAAGAATTCACCAGAGCCAGAGTAGGGAGCAGACCAGGCAGAAGGACTGAAGTACACTGCTGAGGGGAGCAGCGGGCGGCAGGAGAGGTCTGCGCGCCATGTGGGACCCTCCTCTGGTGGCCGGGGAGCAGCCGGGGATCGAACCGGCGCCACAGAGGCCGCGGGCAGCTTCGCAACCCAGCGCTCTACCGCTGCGCCACCTGGGAGGCCCCCCTATTTTTTTTTTTTAAAGGGAATAAAAAGTACGTTGTTTTTGTATTTCATTCAGTCTGCCTGTTCTGTTCCCCACTCTGTCTCTGGTGAATCCTCTCGCTCCCCACACGTCTGGCCTGTACCCCAGTTCTGGTATGCATAAATAAATACATCCTTTAAAAAAAAAATTACAGGGCCTCCCCGGTGGTGCAGCGGTGGAGCGCCGGGTTGCGAAGCTGCCCGCAGCCTCTGCAGCGCCGGTTCGATCCCCGGTTGCTCCCTGGCCACCAGAGGAGGGTCCCACATGGCGCGCAGACCTCTCCTGCCGCCCGCTGCTCCCCTCAGCATTGTGCTTCAGTCCTTCTGCCTGCTCTGCTCCCCGCTCTGGCTCTGGTGAATTCTCTCACCCTCCCGCGCTTCTGACTGTACCCAGTGCTTGTCTAAATAAATAAATAAATATAAATAAATCTAAAAAAAAAAAAGTTCTTATAAAAAAAAAAAAATAAAAATAAAAAAAAAATTACACTATTTTAAAGTGTTCACAGAGATCATTTCATCATTCTTTTGTGTTTCAGCAAACTAGGGTTATTAACCCTTCTGTAAATGGCATTTATAAAAATTTAAATTTTAGACTCATTTACAAATTTTACTCTTCTTCTCTTTTTAGGAGTTTAATCTGATTGATAGGCGTGAGTTGGCACCTCTTCAGGAATTAATTGAGAAGCTTGGATCGAAAGACAGATAAACGGTTTCTTCTAGAACACAGTTCTCCTCTTGCTTCATGTACTGCTAAAACTATCTCATTACTCTCTGTTATAGACTAGTGATACAAACTTTACAGAAACAGGATTAAAAAAGACACCGGTTGTGTGTACTGATAAAATTGTCTCAAAGGTAGGTTGGCCTGCTGCCTTCATAGTGAGAAATTAAGGACACAACTGAATCTGAGATACTGTATCACCACTCCTGTTACTTTCAGAGTCATGTTTGGTTGTAATAAGTGATGTCTAACCTGTAGCTTGTCAGTTTACTTATTATTCATTTACTGAAAGAAATGATTTATTCTGTTTCAGATGGCAGTAATAATGGATGTTAAAAATTTCCACCAGTAAGTTATTAACAAGTTTCCAGAACAAATTTCTTAGTAACATAATCAGATCAGCTTTACTCAGTTTTATACAGATAATAGGTATTTTTAAATTTCCTTAAGATTTAGAACATTTGTGTCACTTTGAATAACTTTTTAGTTTCAAGTTTGGACAGTAGTGTTTTTATAGATGAGGTTATATGTATACTTTTTCAAAATCTGTGACTGCAGTTTAAATCATCTTCTGTTACGTGATATGGGATTAACCAAGGTTATTTTTAAATAACTTCATTTTTCAAATCTGTTTTTTTATTCACATTTGTACATTTTTAGGAGTGTGTGCTCATACAATTTTTAAAAAGCATCTACAGGTGTTCTTGTAGGTTTTTATTTTGACTGCTTCATTCAAATTAATTTTATTATGTAGTTGTGACTGAAAAAAAATAAACTTCCCCCAAATTATGATAAATTTAGGTTTCAAAGCCACTATTTCCATACACATTGTTTTTCAGAGGCCTTGAAATTCTTGATAGGCGAATGGAAGAAGGTACTGAGTATTTGATTATTTTGTCTTGGGTTTCCTTTTTAAAAAAAAATGTTTTTATTGTGACTTGAGACTAGTAGTATAGAATGCACAAACTTTATCCCAGTAAGGATAAAACCTAAGAAAAACCACAATAAAAACCTTGAAGGTGTACACATTTTATAGCATAGCTAAGAGAAGTGTGTCACCTGTTTGTGTGTGTGTGTGTGTGTGTATGTGTGTGTTTGTGTAATTAGGGACAATAAGTAAAAATTAAGTCCAAAATAGGGGTTGTATCCTGGTTTGTTTTTGTATGAAAACTTGAAATTCTTCTATTTCTGTTGGGATCAAAAAAATCTTCCCCTTTACTAAAAATCTAATTTTCATTTGATTTCTAGGATTTAGTAAATCCTAGGTGACTGTTTAAAATGTATTGAGGCAAAGCTTTAAGTTCACCAGCATTCTGTGATTCAGTGCTGTCTTTTTTGCAAAGAACTCAAACATCCTAGATGACTCTGATCGGGTTAAATTTGATTTTTTTTTAAATTTATTTTTATTCTATTCGAGTATAATGAAAAGAATTTCTTAGAAATCCCATTTTTATAGTAACTGAATTTCAGTAAGTTCTGAAATATAGAGTTTTAAATTAAAAAAATTTCATCTGAGGCTGAAACAATACATCATTGTATGAGGGATTAAAGAGTGAGATTTAAAAAAAAAAAGGGAGATCACTTAGAAGAAAAAGCACTGTCTGAAGCATTCCACAGTCCATGTTTAAACTCATCCACAGGTCCTTGTCAGGTGTTCTCTGTGTTTATATTGATCATTTATCAACAAGAAACCAGGTGTCTAGATCCTACCTAAGATGTTATTGCCTCTCAACTTTTAAACCTTGTTGTTTTTTTTAAAATCTGAAAGGAATGAAATATTTCTCAACTAGGTTGTAGTTTTCATCATTTCCATTTAAGATATTTTTAAACAAGAATTCTCACTTTTCTCCATTTTTCTTCAGTGATAGAAATCCTCTCTTTTCATGACTTGATTCCAAAACAAACCAAAGATGCTCACATAGTAGTAGCACAGTAGTGAAAACACCTTATTAACAGGATTATTAAAAATTTTTATTGGTGATTTAAATGTCCTTTTTTTAAAAAAAAGGCATTCCCAGGTTCCCAAGTCAGTCTGGCTTAACCACAGTGCACCAGACATCAGTGTTAACACTTGTTTACATCCAAAGACAGGAGGAGAATTGGAGGAAGGAGAGAGAATGGGGAGAAGATGGCATCTTCCTGACTTGGCTGAAGGGCCATCCTTTGATAAGAGTTAGAAGAAATCAATCTGTCTTTGACTCTTCTCAGTTATTTTATCTCCCTGTGCTCAGCGTCTGCCTGTACCACAACAATCACTCCCTTGCCATCTCCTAATCAAAGGCCATCCCCTCTCAATGTCACCTTCTGTTCCTCACACCTCATTACACCCGTGGGGTGGAGTGTGCTTACTAAATTATGTAGTTAATCTTATGGTGCTTTAATTTCCAAGCCTTTAAAAAGCTTTTGGACAATGATTTACAGATTTTTGTTTAAATATTGAAGCTTGCTGTGTTGCAGATTTTGTGTTGACAGCCAGGTGTATCTTTTATTATTCAGGTTGTGAATAAAGTTGATTTTTCAGGGCTGTCAACTAACAAATTATTTCATCTTAGATTGGAGGACCCTTAGCTCATGTAGTTGCCTACCTGGGAAATGTAAATCCATAGTCATCGTGACTTTGATGACAGCAAAAGGAGTTTTCCTTGTAGTGTAGAGGCAAGAACAATCGTGGTGGTGATGTTAACTTTTGCAGACATTGTTGAGGTTTCCTGATGATACTGTTTGCTTTCTCACTGTGCAGTGAGATTATACTAGAAGTGGAGGTTCTCAACATACCATCGTTACCTCAGAAGCATACACCAGTCAGACCCAAAGATATCCTAGACATTTGTTTCTGAGCAGCCCCGTTCTGGTGCTGGAGTTAACCCTGCCTGATTGTGGGAGATTGTCTCCTGTCTGCAGGACCCTGGCCGGAGAAATGCAAGCTGTGATGCCAAACACCGAGCTACCTTTAAGAGGGGCATTTTCTCCCGGTAACAGTTCATTACTGGGTCTTGGTTTTAGAGTATAGAGTTCTGGCAAAAAGAAAAAATAGTAGCTCTTCAGTCTTCCTATCTTTCGAATCAGATTTTGATATTTCAGATTATAAAAGGCTTTTGGGGGTGAGATCATATGGGATAGCAGTTATTTTATTGAATGAGTTTTCTTACCAGATTCTATTACAAACAGGTGTTCTGTGTCCAAGTGGATCACCAATGTGCTATAGATTTATTATAGAACAACAGTCTGGTTTTGGTCTATGTTAAGAATAGTTTGATAAGTTAGATCTTAGTTACCCTCTGAAATATTTTTAAATGTCTTTACATGCAAATTTATGTTGTATTTTTAAACCTTTAGGGGCTTTATCTATTTTTCTAAGTCAGTTAACTGTACTTTAAAAAAAAGTATTTTGTATCTACTTTTGTAACTGCCATCAGAATAAAATATATTGAAAGAAAGAAATGAATGATGAAAGTATGTGTCTCAACTCATTTTTCAAATTTGGAGACTTGAGGGTTTTGCAGATTCTTTTTTTTTTTAAAGATTATTTATGCATGCAAGAATGGGGGTACAGGCCAAAGGTGCGGTCGGTGAGAGGATCCATCAGAGACAGAGTGAGGAACAGAACAGGCAGATTGCGGAGAGCACCTAGCTAGAGGAGGAGGTCTGCTGCGCCATGTGGGTTGCACCATGGGTGGCCAGGGATCAACTTTTGCTGCAGAGGATGTGGATTGCTTCATAGTGCGTAGCTTAACCCCTTGTGCCACCAGGGAGGCCCCTGGTTTTGCAGATTCTATGGATTTTTGAATAGAGCTTAAACTTGGAAGATGATTTTTGCTTATTAAGATACTTCCCTTCTCCCAAACAGCCACTTCTCATTTTTTAAAAAAAAAGATTTATTTATTTATTTATACATACAAGAACTGGGATACAGGCCAGAGATGGGGCAGGTGAGAGGATTCACCAGAGACAGAGTGGGGAGCAGAACAGGCAGACTGACATACATTGCTGAGGGGGGCAGCAGGTGCAACAGGAGAGGTCTGCTGTGCCATGTGAGTAGCTCATGCTGCAGAGGCTGCGAATAGCCTCACAGTGCTGTGCTTAACCCTTTGCACCACCAGGGAGGCCCTACTTTTCATTATTATAAGAGAAATAGAGTTATTCTTAGGTCCAAATTATAGATGCTTAATTTTAGGTGTACTCAAAATAGTGCAAAATTATTTTGACTTTTTTTGAGTAGAGTTAATAAAAATTGAACATGAACGTGGCTAAAATATGGGCTGACACCTATATTTTGTGTAAAATATGGTTAAGCTAGAAATTTCGGATTTTGCTTTGTTGCTTCAGTAACTTAAAATCTCTAACAAAAAATGTTAAAATTTCAAGGGTATATAATGACTAAGTCTTTGAAAGTACTTTATAAGAGTAGTAGGAAAACCTAAAAAACCTTTGGAAGGGCCAGAATTGTGCTGCACAAACAGAAAAAAATGTCTGCAGGATCCTGGCAGGAGAAATGCAAGCTGTGCCTTGGGCCTTCTCTAGCAAATAGCCCATTACTGTGGACACGGCAGCCTGCACTATTACTGCTGGCCACTAGATGTCAGTCCTGGCCTCAGAAAGTAGATAACAGGCAACTGACCTGCCCAGAATAAAAGATTTTACCTGGTGCCTTCTTTTGTGTGCCCTCCTAACCAGGAGCCTCTAGTTGGCAAGACCTAGGTCATACATTCCTGTCCTGACTTGAGAGCCTGAGAAAAAAGTTCTGAATTTTTTATTTGGAGCTTCACAGTTCACAGCAAACTATTTAAGACACTGGATGGTCCAAAAGCTTGGACAGGCTTTCTCTGAGCTTGTTCCTGTTCTAGGAAAGTATAAGGAGTTTTGGGTCTCCCTGGTGGTGCAGGTGTTAAAGTCTCAGCACTATCAAGATATCAGCAGCCACTGTGGCATGCCAGCCAGGGAACTAACCCACATGGCACAGCAGACCTCTCCTGCCTCTCCTGCTGCTCCCCTCAGCAGTGCATTTCAGTAGATCTGCCTGTTCTGCTCCCCACTCTGTTTCTGGTGAGTCCTCACCACCACTACCCCCACCTGTGGCCTATACCCTAGTTCTTGTATGCATAAATACAAATAAAATCTTTTTTAAAAAATACAAGGAGTTTTCACTAGAATGAGCACAATATTTAGCTCAGTTGATATTTTTTGTAGCAGATTTTGTGAAGGAGGTAGACTGTTGATACAGGTTGTGGCTAAGCTCCTTAATTTGTAGCTGACCAGTACTATAATATCCACTTTAGGGAAACCTGCCTGTTTTAGAGGAATCTTTTAGCAGGTTATCTCATTTAATCCTTAATAGCAACCTGGGAGGGGGTGGCAGCTGAGGTATGTTAGTAATTTTCTGTGTTAAGACAAAAGCTCAGACTTGAATTAACTAGTACACTAGAACGTAGTAAAGGAGGTCTCTTTGTGGGCTGTATTTCTAAAAATTCTGCGTGCTCAAGAGTGCCAGGTGCTTTATAAAATAAAATTATTGCAATTAGAGGTCATCCCAGTGAGGTAAGCAAGGAGTTTTATCCATAGATATCCTAAGGAGTCTACCAGTTAGATCTAAATACTGTGAGTATGAAAGCTGGGACTAGCCATGGACTCAAGTGAAGAGAAAGAAATGCAGAAAGAATAGACAGCCATTTCCTGGGACTAAAGGCATTACTTTTAAATTGTAAGTATTAACCTGGAAGTTCAGGTTGGTTGAGATTGTTCTGCATATCCTTTTCCAAAAGGGCTCAAATTCAAATGGAAACTAGAAGTGCTAAACCTGTCAGTGCTTTTCTTTTTTAAAGATTTATGCATACAAGAACTGGGGTACAGGCCAGAGGTGGGGGGGGGTGGGGGGGAGGGGTGAGAGGATTCAGAACAGAACGAAACAGGCAGACTCTATCAGTGCTTTTCAATAATCACAGTGCATGAACTTTTTTCTCATACCATGCTGGGCTGTTGACATAAATGACTAAAGCAAGATCCTGCTACTGGAGCTTAAGGACCAGTGGGAAAAACATACATATAATTTTATTTATTTTTTTTTTTTAATTTTTTTTTTTTTAATAGAGGCATGCTTTTTTATTTTATTTTATTTATTTGTTTGTTTGTTTTGTTTATACATGCACTGGGTACAGTCAGAAGCACATGGGAGGGTGAGAGAATTCACCAGAGCCAGAGCGGGGAGCAGAGCAGGCAGAAGGACCGAAGTACACTGCTGAGGGGAGCAGCGGGCGGCAGGAGAGGTTTGCGCGCCATGTGGGACCCTCCTCCAGTGGCAGGGGAGCAGCTGGGGATTGAACCGGCACTGCAGAGGCTGCGGGCAGCTTCGCAACCCAGCGCTCAACCGCTGCGCCACGGGGGAGGCCCATAATTTTAAAGGGTGATGCAATAAAAGGCATGCACAAGTTGTGGGCCATTAGCTTACAGTCAGAGGGGACTTCTTGGAGAAGACTTGAACTGCATTAAACAATGGGTGATTCATAACCAAACTTGCAGCCTAGCTTGTATAAGTAGATCAGTGTGCTGAAGGTTGCACTTCAGTTGGGCAGGTAAGTAAGGATTAGATTATACAGAATTTGGGAGTGGACCTCCCTAGTGGTGCAAGGGGTTAAGACACAACTATGAAGCTAGCCGCAGCCACTATACCACATATTCAATCCCCGGCCAGGGATCTACCTGCATGGCACAGCAGACCTCTCGACTTACCTGCTGCTCCCCTCAGCAGTGTATTTCAGTCAATCCGCCTGTTCTGTTGCCCACTCTGTCTCTGGTGAATCCTCTCACCCCCCCAACTCTGGCCTGTACCCCAGTTATTGTATATAAAAATCTAAAAAAAAAAAAAACTTGGGGGTCTGCCTGTAGGTGATGGGGAACCTGAAGCTTTTTAAGTTAGCAAATAATGGACAGGTTTTCTTTTCAGGTGGCTCTGCCAACTGGGGCTAAGGTAGGATACTAGGGCAGAGTTGACAGCTCAAAAAGAGTGAATGTGAACTCAAATTATGGGGCAGAGAAAGGTTGAAAAGCTAAAGTACTGATTATCAATTAAAGGAATTCTTCAAATACAAATCAGTGAGCATATAACATGGGTCTCGTGACAATCCAATTAAAATGGTGCTTATTCCTGTACTTCTAGTTTTTTTTTTTTAAAGATTTATTTATGCATGTAAGAAGTGGGGTGTAGACCAGAGGTGCGGGGGGTGCCGAGAGGATTCACCAGAGACAGAGTGGGGAGCAGAACAGGCAGATCTGAAATACACTGCTGAGGGGAGCAAAGGGCCAGACAGGAGAGGTCTGCTCTGTGTGTGTAGCTCCCTGGTAAGCTGGAATCGAACTCGTGCTGCAGTGGCTGGCGATAGCTTGATAGGGCTGTGTTTTTAATCCCTGTGCCACCAGAGAGGCCCCTAGTTTCAGTTTTCATTGGTTTTGCTCTCAGCTCTGCTTCTTTATCTGTTTCATTTCCAAAGAGGTGCTGCCCACATGGTTATAAAGATGGCCACCCGCAGCTCCAGGTTTTCTACCAATTTGGCAATCCAATTGCTAATGAAGATTATTTTTTTTTTTGGTCTGGTAGTCATTGATCACATTGATCTGGCTCAGATTATGTGACCCACACTAACCTACACTAATTCCTATGTCTAGTTGGCCGGACCTGAGTGTTTTGTTCTCTCCTAGAACTGGGGATGTCCTGTCTCTGCTGAACCGTGCCTGAGTTTGAGTAGCAAAGGGGTGGTTCACCACTGCACCACTGGAAAGTTGGCCATTTTAATTATATCATCAACATCTAAAAAGAAAAATTGAAGACAAGTTAGTTACCAACCATCATTTTAAATATATATATATAAATGAGAGAGAGGGCTAGAATGTGGAAGCAATATATATACACATTGAGGGCCAGAATGTGGAAATCAATACTGGAATGAAAGAGCTTATTTTTGCTGAGGACATTAAGGAACAAAGGTGACCAATATCTAACCAAGTGTAATGTTGATCATACTGACTGCACAGGCCAGAATGAAATAGCAAAAAGCTGGTAAAACCTACTGGGGTATACCAGACCACATGCTGCAAACAAAGAACAGCAGAGAGGGGAAGGGTTGAATTTTGGCCTTGATAGGTATTCTAGATGCAGGGCAGGTTTGCTGACAATTTTACATCTTCCACACCCCCGCGGGGTGTCAGCTTCCATAACATCCGCAGGACTCCAGGATCTACAGTTCCAGTCCACACTTCTGCTAGGCCGTGTTCTATGGGCAAATCCAAAGCCGTCAGCCCCCTCACCCCCAAAGCTAGCCCTCATCCTCCATCTCATTGTCCAAGCCAGACACTTGGGAGTCATCCTAGAAGCCTTATTCGCTCTCACCGGTCACTCCATTCCATTTACCTGGAACTGGCAAACTCCAAAGTATGTCAGCCACCTCCCATGATTGGTTTGGCTCCTCTG